CCACCCCGCGTTCGGGACTGTAGTGGGAAAGGAAAGGAGAGTTTTGGGGAAGGGCTGATGTGAGATGTCAGCGCCGAGGGGGCGGATTGCTGCTTTGGGTTGTGGGGGGGCTTCTCTTTTCGGCTTTTAGGGAAGGAGATGGGGTGGTGGTTTATTGTAGGACCCCTTCTTCCCCTCCCCGAGGGATGGACCCTTTGGGGCTGAAGCTGCTGTGCACCTTCCCCATGGTGCTGCGCTGAGGTTCGTTAGCAGATAACGAGGTGCTCGTGAGTGTGATCAAGGCAATGGGGCCAGCAGAGGATTGGGGAGGGTGGAATTGGGGTTCCTCCTCTGCACCAACGCTGCCTTCACCTCATTGCACAGAGCTCCAGGAACATTGAGGGTGAAATTGTGGGGGGAGCTCAGATTAGAAACAATATATGAACGGAGATCCGGGTGGATGAAAGAGGGGGGCGGAAGTTGAGCAGAGATTCATTTTTTCTCCCCCTTAATTCTGCTTTTTTTCCTTCCACGTTGGGCAATAAAGCACTGTCTGAACGGCGGCGTTGATCCCGGAGCCCTACGGGCACTGAAAGCGGTGACCCGGAGGCGGAGTGTCCCCCTCCCCTATAGCGCATCGCTGCGTTCCCCCCGCCCCTAAACCTCATGGGGCCGTGAAAGAATGGGGACCCCGCACTGAGCTCCCTGCCCTTGAAGTTGACAGCGGGGTGCTGGGGGGGGGGGGGGGGGGGGGGCTGAGCAGCTTCCAAAGCATTTTAAGAAAGAAAAAAAAAAAAGAGAGAGGGGGGGGGAGGGAGAGGAGGGGGTGATCCTGAAGAGGAGGAGGAGGAGATGGCGGTGAATGGCTCCCGCGGAGCTTCTCCATGCTCCGGTGGCAGCGGCTCACAAAGAGCAGCGGGGAGGAATGGTCGGCGGATGGGGCAGAGCCCCGGGTGCTGGGATTGCTGCTCCCAGATAGCACAGCTCGGACAGATCTGCACTCATCCTCCTTCCCAGGCAGGAGAAGTGCCCGAGGGGAAGGCTCTGTCCTTGCGTCCCAAATGTTGGAGTAAACTTTTTTTAATGTTTTAGCTTTGTCGCCCATCGCGTCGATTCTTTTGCTGCGTGCAGAGCTTGCAGGGAATACTGCTGGGGTTGACGGTTTGCGTCTTGCAGCCTCCTTCCAACCTGTTTCAGCTGTTTCAGGGCAGGTTTGCAGGGTGCAGGTGATGAGAAGAGCTCTGGGAGGGGCTCTGCTCTCCGACAACGCCGGGCTGCTCCGCTGACAGCTTTGCAGGTTGCATGGGTGAATTAACCCCTTGTTGCGTTTCTCCCCTCCAGGTTAACGGAGCCATGAAGCCCCCACGGACCCCCCGACCCTGAGCCGTGCACCGTAGCTCCTGCAGACAGCATGAGGCTGCTCCGCCGCCGCTACAGCCCGCTGAAGGTGGCCCTGGTGGGCGCCGTCTTCCTCCTCTTCCTCTTCATCCTACAGAGGGACGTCGGGGACGGCGACCCGCGCGAGGAGCCCTGGTTGAAGAACATCGTCGATGGGAAGGACCAGGTCATCGACCTGATGCTGGGCGCCGTGCACAACCTGCGTGACTCCATGCCCAAGCTGCAGATCGGGGCCCCGGTGCCTCCGGAGGAGCCGCCCCACAGCGCCCGCTCCTGTCCCTCTGGCTTCTACACGGCGGCAGAGCTGCGCCCGCTGCTGGAACGACCCCCCCAAGACCCCTCCGGCCCTGGGGCTGATGGCAAAGCCTTCAAGAAAGAGCAGTGGACGGCAGAGGAGAGCAAGGAGAAGGAGAGAGGCTACGAGAAGCACTGCTTCAACGCCTTTGCCAGTGACCGCATCTCCCTGCAGCGTGCGCTGGGACCCGACAGCCGCCCTCCGGAGTAAGAGCCCCCTCCTCCCAAAAGTGTGCCGGCCTCCTCGGCTCCGTTCAGGGCAAAGTTAAGAGGAAACCAAAGCAGAGATGGGCCTGCAGCTGCCCGCTGCAGGAGCTCCATGCTCTCGCTCTGCAGCAGCATATTGCAGGAGCTCCATGCACTCCCTGTGCAGCTACCTGTTGCAGAAGCTCCATGCGCTCTCCATGCAGCAGCCCAGCATGGGAGCTTCAGGACTTTGCTCTGCAGCAGCGTATTGCAGGAGCTCTGTGGATGCTTTATGCAGCAGCCTGGTGCAAGAGCTCCATGCAGATCCCCATTGCATGAGATCCATGACTTTGCTCTGCAGCTGCCCATTGCATGAGCTCCATGCCCTCGCTCTGCAACAGCATATTGCAGGAGCTCCATGCACTCTCCGTGCAGCTGCCTGTTGCAGGAGCTCCATGACCTCGTGCTGCAGCAGCAGCCCCATGCACCACCAGGTGCATCAGCCCAGCAAAGAGGCTGCAAACCACTTTCTGAGGGGCCTGGCACCTTGGGAATACCAAATTTCTCCTCGATTTCTGTCTGCTTTATGCTTGATTTGTAATTGCAGCGGGTGAAATGGCACAGCAGCTCTTTGTGTACCTGCTCCGGGCTCCAGCATCTCCCCCCTCCCCTCCTTTCTTCCAGCCCAGCCCTAAGCTGACTTTTTCTTTTCTTAGTGGAGTGGAACAGCCCCAGGCAGGGGGTGAAGGAAGCGGCTTCAGCACCGCCCGCCCGGATTAGAGCGTGCCCCCAACCCCTGCCTGGTCGGGGGTGGGCTTGGGGGGGGGGGATCCTGGAGAAAAAAAGCTCTGAATAGGAAGGAGAAGCCGCGCCGGCCGGCGATTATCCGTGCCTAGCAGGTGTAGCGGTCACAATGGGGGAACACCGGGTCGGGGTGGGATGGGAATGTCATTCACTGGACCGGAGGCGACGGGGGCAAAGGGAGGGGAAGAAAAGAGGTAAACCCAATGGAAATCAAAGAGGCAGAGCTGCGGGGGCTGCCGGTGCCGCTGCCCCCCCATGCAGAATGCCGCGGTGGGGGACGACGGCGTTTTGTTCCGGCATGCCAACCCCGCTGCTTCTTCATGCCTGGTGCATAGCCACGATAAATTCTGCTTTTTCTTCCCTTTTATTGCTTTTTTTTTTGTTTTGTTTTTTATCCTCCCCTCCCCTAGGTGCATCGACCAGAAGTTCAAGCGCTGCCCGCCCCTCCCCACCACCAGCGTCGTCATCGTCTTCCACAACGAAGCGTGGTCCACGCTGCTGCGCACGGTGTACAGTGTCCTGCACGCCTCGCCTGCTGCACTGCTCAGGGAGATCATCCTGGTGGACGACGCCAGCACGGACGGTGTGTGGGGCTGTTATGGGGCTGTTATGGGTCTGCAGGATGGGGAGCAAAATGCTCCTGGGCTTTTCTGAATCGTTTCCTACCGCCCTGAGCGCTGTTGGGTTTTTTATTCCGTCTGGATGAAGCCCAGGTGCTCATCCGACGTCATCCCTCGTTACATGGCTCGCTAATGAGTTCCACCCAAAGCAAACGAATGGCACGGTGAGGTGTTGGGAGAGGAGCAGACTTTACCCTCGCGCTCTGCTTCCGCCTCCCAAGGTGCGTAAAGCTGTGTGTGCTGCACCTGGAAAATAAAGGGATTTCTGCACCTGAAGCATCTCCTGGGGCAGAGCGACGCGTTGCTCAGCGTGCAGCATCCCAGGGAGAGGTGCGGTGGTGCTTTCTCACACAGCACTCTGCTCTCTGCTGGGTTTTCTGCCCTGAGCACTGCTCATCCCTGTGCACTCACGGTGTGGCAGTTCCCATTCCGCCCCAGCGAGATCCGGGTTGTGTTTTGGCCAAGAAGTTGTGGTCTGGCTATGTGCAGACATGGGCAGGGTGGGAGATGCTATGAGAAATCCTTGGAAAAGCCAAGTGTGGAGCCAGGAACTTTGTGATGGGGACACGGGTTGGGTGCCCCTGAGATTTGGGGTCTCTTCTGGGATGTTCAGCTCTCTGCTGAACACTTTGGGTATCCCTTCCCAAACCCCTCCTTTGATTAGGTGGATCTGCTCCAAACCTGAGCCCAGGACAGCCTTCCTCATCCATTCCTCAGTGATGAAATTCTGTGTAGTCATAATGGCAGTTTAACCACAGAGCCAAAAGCCCTTTTCCCCCCACCGCTTCCTTGGTGATGGCAAAATGCCAGTGACATTGCAAACTCCATTTGGTGGGCATGGTGGGGTTTGGTTGGTGGTTGGACTGGATGACCTTCGAGGTCTTTTCCAACCTTAATGTTTCTATTTAGGAACGTGATTTAGTGGACGCGGTGGGGATGGGCTGATGGTTGGACCGGATGGTCATAAAGGTCTTTTCCAACCTCAATGATTCTTTTTTTAGCAAATCAAAAACCTCTCAGGCTGGGGGAACGGGAAGGGCTTGTGTCACCCCCACCTCGTTGCAGGATGCAAATGGGAACAGGGACGCCCTTTCCCTCCCTGTGGGGACCCCGATGTGCTGACTGGGGATGAGGAGTGGGGGCTGAGCTCACCCTGAGGTTGTCCACCCTCTTCTGTTCCCCTAGAATATCTGAAGGACGAGTTGGACCGCTATGTGAAGCAGCTGCAGATTGTGCGGGTGGTGCGGCAGGCGGAGAGGAAGGGGCTGATCACAGCCCGGTTGCTGGGAGCCAGCGTGGCGAGCGGCGAGGTGCTCACCTTCCTGGATGCACACTGTGAGTGTCTGCCTCCCCACCACCCCTCTGGGTGCCCATGGGGTCGGGATGCAGCCCCCAGTCCTGGCGCATCCCATTGAAGCGATGCCGGTGAGGTCGGTTCACCCTTCCCTGTGCTCCACAGGTGAGTGCTTCCATGGGTGGTTGGAGCCCCTCCTGTCCCGCATCGCCGAGGAGCCCACAGCTGTCGTCAGCCCCGACATCACCACCATAGACCTCAACACCTTCGAGTTCTCCAAGCCAGTGCAGTATGGCAAGCAGCACAGCCGGGGCAATTTCGATTGGAGTCTCACCTTTGGATGGGAGGTCGTGCCACCCCGTGAGAGGCAGAGGAGAAAGGACGAGACTGTCCCCATCAAGTAAGCCTGAGCATGGGGTGTTTCATGCCAATGTAGAGCCCTACACCTGAGGAGGAACAACTGCACATACCAGTGCAGGTCAAGGGCTGAGCTGCTGGAAAGGAGCTCTGCAGAGAAGGACCTTGGGGTCCTGGCTGGCCAGCAGGGTGATCATGAGTGAGCAGTCTGCCCTGGTGGCCAAGGTGGCCAGTGGTGTTCTTTTTGACCATGGGTTGACAAACAGGGTGACCACGAGCTAGCAGTGTGCCCCAGTGGCCAAGAACACCAATGGTGTCCTGTTTGACTGATGGTTGGCCAACAGTTGGCCAGTGGTTGACCAAAAGCTGACCACGAGCCAGCAGTGTGTCCCGGTGGCCAAGAGGGCCAGTGGTTCCCTGTGGTGCACTGCACAGAGCATGGCCAGCAGGGTGAAGGAGGTGCTCTCTGCTCTGCTCTGCACTGGGGAGACCCCATCTGGAGCACTGGACCCAGTTCAAGCAGACAGGGAGCAGTTGGGTGAGCCCCCCATGGAGGGTCCAGAGATGGTGGGGGCCTGGAGCTGTCATTTTTCTTGCTGCTTCATGACTTTTTACATTCCCAGCATGGTTTCCCCGTGCATTCTGGGGCCAGGAGCTCTCTGGTGGCTGATGCTTGGGCAGGAGGGAAACCTCAGCGTAGGTTCGGTGAATCTACAGACACAAATGTGACTTTGAAGGAAAGCCCTCCTGAGTTGCTTCCAGATCCAGCTAAATCTCAGTTCTTGCAAAGCCTCTCATTAAGGGATTAATTGCTGCCTTTTCTCTTCTTGCACTCAGAGCCCGCTACCTGGGCATGGGGTGGTATTGAGCTGGCAGAGCAGCGAGCAGGATGCTACCTGTGGGTTGGGCTGCACTGATTTTCTTTTTTTTTTTTTTTTTTCTTCCCTTCCAACCCAATTTTGCAAGCAGAGAAGCCCCCAGCACCAAAGCACACTGCCTTGTTTGCAGGCTACAGCGGGTGAGCGCTGCTGCAGAGCTCCCTGCTCCCCATGGGGTTATGCAGCAAAAACAAACCCTTTGCTGGGTGTGCTGGGGCTGTTTGCAGCAGGCTTGCAGCATTGGCTTCAGGCAGCAAGCTGAGCCCACAGCAAGCAGGCAGGGACACCAGCAGGTGCAGGAAGGATGCTTGAGGGGTTGGTTTGTGCCCCCCCAAAGTTCATCCCACAATTGCTCCATGTAGCTGATGGTGAAGCTGTGAAAACACCAACAGTGCCACGGAGCTGCGTGTTGCAGGAGGTGAGGGAAAGCATCCGGAAAAAAAATGGGCTTTCTCCTAGGAAAAATAAAATTAAAAATACTGACAGCCTTGGCTCTGGGAGCCCAGTATCCCCACATTGGCAATGGGGTTCCTCCAGCTGCTGAGCCCCACTGCCATGTGGGGATACCTGACACTGTGTTTGGCTGCGGCTGCATCCTGTCCAGCAGGACTGGCTTTGTGCAGAGGTCACCTGGGAGACGTCCTGGCCCCAATAAAGGTCCCTTTCTCTGTGAGCTGTGCTGGCTCCCAGCAGCGTTTCATCTCTCCCCGCTCCTCTCTGCAGGAACGTGGCTGCTCAGCGAGCTCCTTTTTGTCCTCATATTTATATATTATTTTTTTTTTTCTCCCCTTTGAATAAAGGCAAGTTTCTGTTCCAGCCTCCCTTTTCTAAAGATCAGATGGAACAGATTAGAAAAGCCAGAGGAGTGAATGGGGTGCCTGGTCACTGAGCTAATCTCTGCCTTTCTTTGCTGCGATAGGTTTTCTGTAATCAAATCCACTGTGCTTTGCTCTGGATCCCGAGGCAGCAGAGTGAGGCCCCTCAGTGCCATGCTGCCCTGTGTTCCTGCTGTCCCCTCCTGGCAGTGGCTCCGTCCCCATGGTGCCCCTCTGCTATGGCCATGGCAGCAAGAGGGATCACTTCCAGGACTGGCACGCAGCTGGTTGAGGGGATGCTGCCACCCAGTGCCACCCTCTGTGATGTCCCCTGATCTGCGTTTTGGTGTTTTCTGAACCTGTTCTACAGATGGAGGCCCTCCAGCCTTATGTTTTCTCCCTGTCCTGTAGGTCCCCAACCTTCGCCGGTGGCCTTTTTGCCATCTCCAGGTCATACTTTGAGCACATCGGTTCCTACGACGACCAGATGGAGATCTGGGGGGGAGAGAACGTGGAAATGTCTTTCAGGGTGAGGCCGAGGGGGCAGGGCATTCAGAGCACTGCTTTGGGGGACGTCCTCGATCCCGGGGCTGCTCAGCCCTCACGTCTCATCCCTGCAGGTCTGGCAGTGTGGGGGTCAGCTGGAGATCATCCCCTGCTCCGTGGTGGGCCATGTCTTCCGCTCCAAGAGCCCCCACACCTTCCCCAAGGGCACTCAGGTCATCTCCAGGAACCAGGTTCGTTTGGCTGAGGTCTGGATGGATGACTACAAGGAGATCTTCTACAGGAGGAACCAACAGGCTGCACAGATGGCCAGAGAGGTACCTGCACGCCAGAGGCGGTCTCACTGTCATACAATCCCTGGGTGGTTTGGGTGGGAAGGGACCTTAAAGAGTGTAGAATTGTAGGATGGTTGAGTTGGAAGAGTTCCTGAAGGTCACTGAACCTTGGGTCCTTAAAGATCATAGAGCAGTAGGATAGTTCAGTTGGAAGGGTTCTTAAAGATCACGAAGCCATGGGTTGGTTGGATTGGGAGAGACTTTGAAGATCACTGAACTCTAGGATGGTTGGTTTGGAAGGGTCCTGAAAGGTTATAGAACCACAGAATATTGGAATGGTTGGGTTGGGAGGGTCCTTAAAAATCCTAGAACCATTGAGTGTTGGAATGGTTGGGTTGGAATAATCCTTAAACATCATAGAATAATAGGATAGTTGGGTTGGAAGGGTCCTGAAAGGTCATGGAACCATGTGACAGTGGGGTTGGAATGTTCCTGAAAGGTCATGGAACCATAGACTGGTTGGGTTGGAAGGGTCCTGAAAGGTCATGGAACCATAGAATGGTTGGATTGGAAGGATCCTGAAAGGTTATGGAACCATAGAATGGTTGGGTTGGAATGGTCCTGAAAGGTCATGGAACCATAGAATGGTTGGGTTGGAAGGGTCCTGAAAGGTCATGGAACCATGGGACAGTGGAGTTGGAATGTTCCTGAAAGGTCATGGAACCATAGAATGGTTGGGTTGGAAGGGTCCTGAAAGGTCATGGAACCATAGAATGGTTGGGTTGGAAGGGTCCTGAAAGGTCATGGAACCATGGGACAGTGGAGTTGGAAGGGTCCTGAAAGGTCATGGAACCATAGAATGGTTGGGTTGGAAGGGTCCTGAAAGGTCATGGAACCATAGAATGGTTGGGTTGGAATGGTCCTGAAGGATCATGGAACCACAGAATGGTTGGGTTGGAAGGGCCCTGAAAGGTCATGGAGCCATAGAATGGTTGGGTTGTAAGGGTCCTGAAAGGTCATGGAACCATATAATGGTTGGGCTGGAAGGGTCCTGAAAGGTCATGGAACCATAGAATGGTTGGGTTGGAAGGGTCCTGAAAGGTCATGGAACCATAGAATTGTTGGGTTGGAAGGGTCCTGAAAGGTCATGGAACCATAGAATGGTTGGGTTGGAAGGGTCCTGAAAGGTCGTGGAACCATAGAATGGTTGGGTTGGAAGGATCCTGAAAGGTCATGGAACCATGGGACAGTGGAGTTGGAATGGTCCTGAAAGGTCATGGAACCAGAGAATGGTTGGGTTGGAAGGGTCCTGAAAGGTCGTGGAACCATAGAATGGTTGGGTTGGAAGGGTCCTGAAAGGTCATGGAACCATGGGACAGTGGAGTTGGAAGGATCCTGAAAGGTCATGGAACCATAGAATGGTTGGGTTGGAAGGGTCCTTAAAGGTCCTGGAACTTTGGGACAGTGGGGTTGGAATGTTTCTGAAAGTTCATGGAACCATAGAATGGTTGGATTGCAAGGGTCCTGAAAGGTCATGGAACCTTGGGACAGTGGGGTTTGAATGTTTCTGAAAGGTCATGGAACCATGGGACAGTGGGGTTGTAAGGGTCCTGAAAGGTCATGGAACCATAGAATGGTTGGGTTGGAAGGGTCCTGAAAGGTCATGGAACCATAGAATGGTTGGGTTGGAAGGGTCCTGAAAGGTCACGGAACCATAGAATGGTTGGGTTGGAAGGGTCCTGAAAGTTCATGGAACCTTGGGACAGTGGGGTTGGAATGTTTCTGAAAGGTCATGGAACCATAGAATGGTTGGGTTGGAAGGGTCCTGAAAGTTCATGGAACCATAGAATGGTTGGGTTGGAAGGGTCCTGAATGTTCATGGAACCATAGAATGGTTGGATTGGAAGGGTCCTGAAAGGTCATGGAACCATAGAATGGTTGGGTTGGAAGGGTCCTGAAAGGTCATAGGGCCATAGGATAGTTGGGTTGAAAGGGTCCTGGAAGATCACAGAACCATGGGATGGGTCGATTGGCAGGGTCCTTAAAGCCCATCCAGCTCCAGCTCCTCCTGTGAGGTCCTGGGGTCTGAGCTCCTGCCCAGAGCTTGGAGCTGATCAACAGGATCAAGTTCTGCAGGCTCCGCTTAGAGCAATGAAATCAAACACGGATGGGAAAGTACAACCAAAGAAAACAAATCCTTTGGGCCATATAACTTTCTAGATGCATTTTTTTTTAACACCACCCAAGTGTTTTGTCACCGCTCAGCTTTGCTCTGGGTCCCACTGGGGTCCTGCAGTGGGCGGGAGGACGAAACTTTTGGCCTTGGAGGGGGTTGAGGGGTTGTTGGGGGGGGGTTTCCTGTTGGCTCTGGAGATCAGTTTAATTTTCTCACGTGACTTTGCCGATAGAAGACGTATGGTGACATTACAGAACGGCGCAGGCTGAGGGAGAGGCTGCACTGCAAGAATTTCACCTGGTACCTGCAGAACATCTATCCCGAGATGTTCGTCCCCGACCTCAACCCCACCTTTTACGGAGCAGTAAGTGCAGGAACACAAAGGAGAGCCAAAAAAAAAAAAAAAAAAAAAAAGAAGCCTTTATTTTTTTGCTTCAGCTGGGAGCTGGAATCCAGCAGAGCTGGTTTCGGGGGCCGCCAGGGATGTTGTGTGGCCTCAATGGGGAGGGGGGGAGGAAGAGCCGAACGCTTCCGGCAGCTCCGTGCCATCATCACTGGGCACAGATGGGTGCATTGGTGGCCAACCCTCGGCGTGGCGCTGCTGGTGGCGCTGCTGGTGGCGCTGCTTGGTGGCCCTGCTGGTGGCCCTGCTGGTGGTGGCTCTGTTTGGTGGCTCTGTTTGGTGGCCCTGCTGGTGGCCCTGCTGGTGGCCCTGCTGGTGGCGCTGCTTGGTGGCCGTGCTGCTGGTGGCCCTGCTGGTGGCGCTGCTTGGTGGCCGTGCTGCTGGTGGCCCTGCTGGTGGCCCTGCTTTGTGGCTCTGCTTGGTGGCGCTGCTGGTGGCTCTGCTTGGTGGCTCTGTTTGGTGGCCCTGCTGGTGGCCCTGCTGGTGGCGCTGCTTGGTGGCCGTGCTGCTGGTGGCCCTGCTTGGTGGCTCTGCTTGGTGGCTCTGCTTGGTGGCGCTGCTGGTGGCGCTGCTGGTGGCCCTGCTGGTGGCCCTGCTGATGGCTGTGCTGCTGGTGGCCCTGCTTGGTGGCCCTGCTTGGTGGCCCTGCTGGTGGCGCTGCTGGTGGCGCTGCTGGTGGCTCTGTTTGGTGGCTCTGTTTGGTGGCCCTGCTGCTGGTGGCTCTGTTTGGTGGCTCTGTTTGGTGGCTCTGTTTGGTGGCTCTGTTTGGTGGCCCTGCTGGTGGCCCTGCTGCTGGTGGTGACGTGGCTCAGCTCTGCCCCTGCTCTTTTTCTGTTCTTTCGTTTCCTCAACCTTTGCTCACCTCCCATGGCCGGGGAGGCGCTGCTCCGG